CCTTATTATCCTGTTATCTTGTAACAGCGTATATAGAGTATCTTATCAGATTGAAATAAAAGATTTCATTTCAAATACAAAAGTATCTTATGAAAATGGAATTGCTGAGAACCCTACAGAATCATAACTGTCAACAGGTTGGCTATGGTCAGGCTGTTTCTGATACTTAGAATTTTGCCATCCAGTTATGTGTGAATATGCTTGCATCTTTTTTGGTATGGAGCTCATCATTTGGCAGGACAGGTACACTGGCAGCACTGTTTGTTCAAAAAGTGAATGTCTCAAAAGCCTTATCCACTTATCCCAGTAGAGACTTGATGACTTCATACTTCAAGTGCATAGAAAAGATTCCCCCTATAATGACTGTGTACTTGAACTTGATAATACTGGTAAAGATAGTTTTTCTTTCATGTAATCTGTCACACTGAAAAAAATTTTCTTTAGTCCTGAAATTGATCAGATGCTACATAATCCCATTACCTGGATTGTAGCATGACAATGAAATGTTGCTGAATAAAGGCACAAATGTCAGAGCTACGATAATGAACCCCAACTTCCTCATAATACTAAGCCTATGTATCTCAGCAGGTAACATCTGTGAAGTGCTCAGCACAAATCTTGGCACCAGTCCACTGTTAACTGTTACTGCTTGAGGTCACATAGCTTCTGGTAAGGGCCAGGAGTCGAACTTCAACTCCAAGGTACCATCCAGTGTGTGTCACTCTGGCCCTTTTTCCATCACTCATATCACCTTCTGATGAATCCAGTGTATTTATGGATTTGCTGTTGTTTTCCTCCCTCCACCAGAATGGAGGCTCCACAAAGACAAGGATAGACCCTCTCTGTTCCCCATTGTATTCCCTGCATCCCAAGGGTGCCACATAGGATAAGTGCAGAGACTTACTAAATGAAAGAATACATTTAGAGACTCCAAATAAACATGCTCTAGAGTGGAGAAGGGAAAGGAAAAGAAGCATTTATAGAGCACTCATTTTTGTTGTTGTTGTTTTTGAGATTGTTGTTTGAGACAGGATCTTGCTGTGAACCCCAGCCTGGCCTCAAATGCACTGTCCTCCTGCCTCATCCTGCCTAGTGCTGTGATCACAGGCATGTGCCACTAGGAGCACACACATATAAATACATATACATATGTATGTTTCAGCTAACATTCACATCAGCCTTATAACAGAAAAAACATTATTCTCTTTTAACAGTGAAGAAAGTGGGGCTCAGAAATTTTGGTTATTCAGATCTGTCTTACTTCAGAAGTTCATGCTGTTTTTACTACCACAGTGCCTCCTAATTAGATTATCTAAGAATTTTCAGGGAAAAAGGTCTGGGGACATAGCTCAATAATAGAGACTTGCCTCGCATGCATGAGACCCCTGGGTTTAATTCTAAGTACTGCCAAAAAAACCTTCATGAACAGCATCATCATTCTAAATTTTAATTGGCCACATGGTATATTTTTCATGATTCAAAAAAAACTTTCCTCAAAATGTAATCCCTGAAGCACTGCATTTTATAGCAAGGTAACCTACTGTCAGGAGGCAGCTTGGACTGGCAGACACAGACCTAGATTTGGACTTGGAAGACTTGAACATGGAGCCTGGTTATTGATTACTAGAGATAAGAATCTTAGTTTCTCATTAATAAAATAAAGACGTTAATAGGTGCCTGCCTACCTGATAGAGTTAGTAAGAGATAATGTATGGAGTTCAGTGTGATAGCACGTGCCTATAATCTCAGCACTCAGGAGGCTGAGGCAGGAGGACTGCATGAGTTTGAGGCCAGTCTGGGCTCCTTAGCAAGACCCTGTCTCAAAAAAACATAAAATCAAAGAATAAATTCATGAAATGTGATCCACTATTACTATTTCACTAGTATTATCATTACTAATAGTAATAATATATACTTTCCTCAGAAGAGACACATTTGTGAGCATGTGAGCATGTGGCCCTGCCTACAGATGCAATTAGAGAGCCAGAATCATGGTTTGATTCTACCTGAGTGCCCCAATTTTCCATTCTGTATCCACAGACAGCCCAGATAACTTCTGCCTGCACCTCACTGAGGCATGTGTTTGGTCAACGAAGGGAGCTTGGTGTAAAGAGTGGATGGACCAGGTCAACCCACCGCCACCTTTGGAAAAATAATGAATAGTAGTACTGATAGTTTGATGATGCCTTTTGTATGTTCTGCGTGTTTCCACATGTGTTAGCTCAGTTTACCTCATGTCTGTGAGAAGTAACGTACTGTACTCTGTGGAGCATCTCCACCTCCTTTCCCTCCACTTTGGCACTTGCTGTACTTCCCTGTGAGTGTCTGCAGCTGTGAATTGGAGTGCTACCAGTTCACAACTCAAGTTTTCTCTCCCATTTTACTCCCTTCTTGAAGGAACTATTGTTTATTGGACATCTGTTAAACACAAAGCACTTTCACATTCCTTATTTTATTTACTTCTCACCTGTCATTCAAAAGAAGAAACTTGGGGCCGGGGATTTAGTTCAGTGGTTCTGGCACCTACCTCGAAAGTACAAGGTCCTGAGTTCGATCCCCAGTACCAAAAAAAAAAGAAGAAACTTGTTCAGGGCCACAGAGACACAAGTCTTAAATTTTTGCTTTCCAGATATCTGCCTTATCTTGGACACTACTGCACCCTTCATCTGTCAGTTGACAACGCTAGGGGTGATGGTATCATTATTAGGAACATCCACTTTACATGCTTTAGGGGATATGTACCTGCCTCTATTAAGCAATTTTTTTATTTTTTTGGTACCAGGGATCAAATATCAAGCAACTTTTTAAGCCATGTGTGGTGGTTTGCATCTACTCTAGAGCTACTCAGGAAGTTTAGATGGAAGGTTTGTTTGAGCTGAGGAATTGAAGACCAACCTGGGCAACACAGTGAGATTCTGTCTCAGAAACAAACAAAGCTTTTTAAAAAGAAAATTTTAAATTAAAAAAGGGCTGGGGATGTAGCTCAATATGAAAATATTGAATTCAATCCCCACTACCATAAAAAAATAAAGTTATATTTCTGGACTTTTATCTGTTATATGGAGTTGTTTAAAATAGTACCCAAAGCCCAATGGGGCTTGAGATGTACTTCAGTGGTAGAACACTTGCCTAACAGTTGCAAGGCTCTGGGTTTGATCCCAGCATTGAAAAAAAGAGAGAAAAGTACCTTACCCCTGTGAATTTGATTCAACAGTATTGCATTCACCTTTACAGATGAACAGAATTAAGTGAAACTTCGGACTGTTGAACTTTGTTTGCATGAGTGCCTTTTCTCATCCCAGTGGGAGGAGGTCTTGAGTTTGCCCTACTAGAGCAGGAGTCAGCAAGCTTCTGCTAAGATGCCTGATGGTCAGTATTTTTGGCTTTCTGAGCTGTTTCTCTGTCACTGCTGGACTCCAGCACTGCAGCTCAGAGTCTTTGTGAACAGTTGTAAGGAAATGAGGGGAGCTGTAGGCACCAAGATTTCAATCTCATATAAAAGTCCTTGTGTTACACAATATTGTTTCTCTTGTTTTTTTTTCAACCATCTGTAAATGTTAAAAAAACCCTTTCTAAGTCTTGAGGTGTTAAAAAAGAAAAAAGATTTGCCTTTGGGCTATAGTTTGCCAACCCCAGGCATATAGTTGGGACCTCTTGGGGATTTTTTATTTTTTATTTTTTGGTATTGGGGATCGAACTCGGGACCTTGCACTTGCAAGGCAGGTGGCAGAACCACTGAGCTAAATCCCCAGCCCTATTGGGGATTTTTAAAAACTGTTGTCTTCATGGTAACAGTAATGCAAGAGGATAGTTTAAAAAGCCTAACAGTATAGAAGAAAATGCAGTGAAGCACAAAGCTTTCCTACCTCCACCCCTAATCACATGCTCCAGAAATAACCATTATGTGTGAATGTTAATTTCCAGAATTTTTTTTGGTAGTGGGACTCAAACTTAGAACCTTGTGCTTGCGAGGCGGGCGGCAGCACCACTGAGCTAAATCCCCGGCCTTTCCAGATATTTTATAGGCACATACAAGCTTGTATAAATAAATGTACGAGTTCTTTTTACATTAATGGGCTCCTTATACATATTGTTTAGCATTTGCTTTTTTTAACAATATCTTACATCTTTTATCACTACAGAGATGACTTAGTTTTCTTTCTTTTTCATTTTTTTTGGCCCCAGAATTTTCTGTTGGATAGATATACTAGAATATATTTAACCAGTCCCATTGGTGTTTCTCACTTGGACATGCACAGGTTGTTTCCCATTTTTTCCTGCCAAGCAGTGCTTCAGTGAGGGTATGTCTTTATAGCTCCACAATTGCATAATATCCATGGGATACAGTCCAAGGAAGTAAGTTACTGCATCTGAAAATACAGTTAAAATTTGATAGATATTTCTAAATTTCTGTTGTGGGTACTTTAGGACTCTGTGTTTAGTTTCTTTTGAGGTTATGCCTACATTTTTGCTATTTGGTCTTTATCTGACTTTAGCATTCATTGCAGTGAATTTCAATATAATGCCTTGATGCACGTGAACTTAACACACAGTAGTAATCCTATGGAGGGCAAAAGTGCAGCCGGCAATTTATCCATGATTCTTGAAAGGAAAACTATTTTAGAGTATAAAGCCATCAAAATAGTACCTTAAATTCTGAGGTTATCTTGGACATTGTCCCATAAGGTACAACAGCAGAAATTGTTCTTTTTCCAGCCCGAGTGCTTAGCAGATGTTTCTATATGTTTGTTTCCCATTAGAGTAGAGCTTTCCATTGTCAGACATTTATGTAAACATAGCATTAGCTAATACGCTGTGCTACTATTGTACTAGAATCCAGAATACTACTGTTTTCCTTTCTGTTTGGGGCTTTTCCTTTTTGAGGCAATAAAGAATTAGAATGATGATTTAATAGACAATACAACACCTTCCAGTGTAATACTGTATTCTTTCTTTCTTTCTCTCTTTTTAACTTAAAATACATCTATTTCTCCTCATAGGCTGTCATAGAATTTTCTCTTCACCATTCAGTCATATCTACTTACACAAGCAGTCCAGCAGTCAACAAAGAAGAAATTTCTTTTTCTGGAGACAAAGAGATACTTCACACAGTATAGTTTTGCCGGCTGCAGTTTCTTCAGCGCATCCAGTCCCTAAGGTATTGTATTGCCTATTATCTGCTGCTTTTTTCCAGCCAAGATAAAGGCTGACTGCAGAAGTGATCAAATGTTTTTGCACCTTTGATTTCTGAGCCATTTGAGTCATAATTTTAAAACTTGGTTTGTGATTTGAAATTGTAATATAGGAAGTTTTAACATGCTGCAGTTCTGGAACTTTAATTTTTAAAAATAAAGCTATGAACATACAACTGCTCAGCTTATTTAGAATTTAAATTTCTGCCATGGAATTTCCTACACTAAGTTTCTATCATGAAAATAAAACTGCACGTATATCGTTTCCTAATATTTTTAGGGGAAAAATGACTATAAAATTGGAATGATTTGAGAGAGATTACTTGAAACTAACACACTAGATGTTTTTATTAAGCCTGCACTTATACTTTCCATGTTACTAATACTGCTGTGTTTGAGTAGTCCTCTGAAGTAAAATATAACATCTTATCTCAGAGCATTTTTTTTTATTCAAAGATTGCAATTCTGTATAAAGACAAGCTCTCCGTTTTTCAAAATGTAATATAAAAGAGGTTTGCTGGGCTGGGATTTAGCTCAGTTGCACCTTTCCTGCCTCGCAAGTTCAAGGTCCTGAGTTCGATCCCCGGTCCCGGAAAAAGAAAAAAAAAGAGGTTTGTGAGTTTTTTAGGAAAAAGAATAGCTAAAAGAAATATAGATTTGTCATAAAAACTGTTTGCTTTCCCCCTTTTACAATTTTTATTGTTGTTGTTTCACAGTGAATTCACATTAAGTATGCCACACCTCCTGTGGCAAGGGATGACAAGACAGAATACATTCCTGCCCTGAGGCCTGGCCATCATAGTGAGAGCAAGCATTTGGTATTAGCCACAAAACTGACATTATTTTTCCTGAGTAGAAAAGAAAAAGAAATCTCTGGATAGGTGAATGTATTACTTTAGACATTTCAGTCACTTGCAGTGACACCCAACAGCCTCTCTGCCTATAGTTGTGACCTCGCCAGATCACAGAGCAGAGTGAAAACAAGAACATAGACTGTTTGGGGAAACCCAGTGAACTGTGGGCATTGGTGGGGTGGCTGTAGGAGAGTAGATGCTCCTCCAGGGCAAACCAGGCCAAGCTCTTACCTCAGGAAAGGCCCTCTGGACAGGAAAAACCAGCATGGCACTCTTCACAAAGAGAAGAGCCCTAGTCTCAATCCTTCCAGAGTTACATGATGTTGCCACTGAATAGTGTGACCTTCGTTAGCTTCCTGTCCCAAACCACTGTGTAGCCTTACTGTGTTCTGTTCAACAGTGCATATGTACGGTTGCTATAAATAAATTATTAAGGGCTGTATGAACCTTGGGCCTGAAAGAGGCTCTGTGTGTAAGATGGTATTATTTTCTGAGTACTACCAGTGGGTTTGAGTAAGTGGTAGAGGATGGTCTACAAGGGTGATTAGGTTTGAATGTTTTGAGTTTAGGGGCGCTGTTACTCTTAACAAATGATGGATATGTTCTAAGTAATTTTAATGTACTTGGGGGAGAAAAGAAAACTGCTTTGTTTTATGTTTTAGCACCCAATTTGAGTAGGGTTTCCAAGTAAAAGGAAACTGTATGTCTAAGAGGCTGCATGGACTTGATTGTCAGCCTTTTTACATATATTCATTGAAAGATGATACTAGGAACCATCCTTTCCATAAATTTTATCTTTGTGTTAAGAAGATGAAAGTGTCTCTTAATAAATTATTTGGCAAATTGGAAGTTTGGTGGTATTTTTAAATGGTGATAGGCTTCCAACAGGGTGGGGAGGAGGAAGAAAAGAAAACTACTGTTTGTTTTGACCAGAAGTCTGCTTCAGTCCAGTTTGACTCAGACCATGGTGAGGTTAACAGACCATCCAGAGGCAGCACTAACAGGCAATGTTAAGTTCAAAAGGGCAGGGGAAGGAACTGGGGGCAGCCTGGAGGGTCTGTTGTGCTGGCTACGGAGGTCGGTGCTCCGGCAGGAAGGGCAGAGCTTCATGAAGCAGGAGGCTGTGTCCGAAAAAAATGATCCCATTGTCACACGCTGAGTTCTGATCTTCGTTTTCAATCCTTTTTTCCTCAAGCATATAAAGAAGCCAGACTATGTGACGACAGGCATTGTACCCGGCTGGGGAGACAGCATAGAAGTTAAGAATGAAGATCAGATTCAAGGGCTTCATCAGGCTTGTCAGCTGGCCCGGCATGTCCTCCTCCTGGCTGGGAAGAGTTTAAAGGTGGCATCTTACCAAGTCTCAGACTGGCTTACATGAGGGGCAACAAACACTCCTCTTTCTTTCTCTTTCTCCCTAACTATTCTTTTATATAATCTAATTTGTTAAAAAAGTAAAGCCTTGGAATAGGAGAAAGGAATTTTATTATTTTATGTGTTCATTCTAGAGGTAATTTGAAAATCCAAATCCATTTTTAACTAGCAGAATTCTAGAGGCACTTTGGACGAACTCATCCTATCCAGGTTGATCAATGGCAGATGGCTTTGACTAGTGCCCCCTTACTCCTGCCTAGAGTTTCTACTTTTATTTCCCACATTTTTTTTTCCCTGTGTGCCTAGAGCTATTTTGTCTTGTATTTTACCTCTTTTTTTGGGGGGGGGACATTATCTCTGTAAAGAAAGATCAGACCAGATACACAAAACTATTGGTAATATGTAAATATAGTTATGTACAACCATCTTACCATAAGATTAGTTCTTTCATAATAATCAGAAATGCCCTGCTACTTAAAGATCATAAAAGCAAATATATGTCTATATTCTCCAAAAGGTGGGAAAAATTTAGGAAGTGAGACTCAAAGATGAAGTAGCTTACTGTGCCATCTGTGTAATAAACTTTTTATAGTGACATAACGAAGCATAACTTGAATATAAAGTAGCATGGGAAATGATTGAATAGTTAATTTTTAATAAAAGATTTTATTTTTATTTTAGAATTTTATATCATAGAGATAGCCTTCATGTGCTTATAAAACTCAATCTTGCTGAGGATTTAGCTCAGTGGTTCCGCCGCCTGCCTTGCAGGTGCAAGGACCTGAGTTTGATCCCTGGTACCAAAAAAAACAACTCAATCTCAGGGCCTTGTGATATAGCTCAGTGGCAGAGTGCTCCCTTGCATGGGTGAGGCCCTGGGTTCAAGTCCCAGTCCCACAAATACACGCACATACAAACTCAATTTCAGTTTTCTGAGAGCAGTTGGATACCTTCTGGTAAGGCAAAAAATTTTTAAGCATTTGTTTATTTAGACATGAAAGAAATCAAAATTAATGAAAATCAAATCTCTATAAAATATATCAGACTAAGTTTTCTAAATGGTGAAGCATAATCTCCCTGCCATTGCTGCAAAATTCATGAAATGTTTCACTAAAATAAAAAAGTGTAGATTGACCTACTCTTCCAGCCTTGTTGTCTAAACCAAAGATCCTTTTGAGCACTTATTTATAGTTTTTCATTAGCCAGGGCACTAACCATTGAGGAAAGTGAAGGAACTACTGAAGACCACAGTGTTGAAATCTTCAGGCCAAACAGGAGTCATTTCATTTAATGACTCACAAATGATTTAGAGGATCCTAGAGTTGAACTTTTCTATTTGCTAGTGGTCCATAACACCACGATATACCCAAATAATCATCAAAAAAGCCCAATTGAGCATGATAACATTAGTCAAAATTAATTAAAATGTGGTACCATATGTTTATCATAGTAAATTTATACTGTCCCACATGGAAGTGCTGTTGTTACAGGCATAGTCAGTAAATACAGGAAATGTCTTCAACTGTTGCCAATTTCTTTATTTAATATTTTAGGTTGACATGACAACTGAAGAGATAGATGCTCTTGTTCATCAGGAAATCATCAGTCATAATGCCTATCCCTCACCTCTAGGCTATGGAGCCTTTCCAAAATCTGTTTGTACCTCTGTAAACAATGTGCTCTGTCATGGTATTCCTGACAGGTATTCATTCTTTAATAACAACATATTGTTCCTTTAGAAACTAAAACATGAAACTAAGATTTATAACTTATATTGAAAGACACTATAGTTCATTGAAATCCACTGAAAACTTCTAAGTTGATAATGATAAAAATAAAAATTTTGAAGTATTTCACTGCTAAATGGATATAATGTCACCATTTAATGTTAAAGCAGTATCTACAAAAGTGGTTATGCCATAACTATTTCTTTTACCTTGTTCAGTTTTTACCAAATACATAAAAATACAACATAGGCAATTTTTGTTATCAGCTATTGTTTTCATTCTTTACAAAATTAAGTAAGTGATACGTATTTCATTTTATTTATTTATTTATTTTTTAGTATGTCATTTTAAAGAATAGTGGATTATTAAACAATGTCAGTATGTTCATTTTATGTATTTTTTAAAAATTAATTATATTGGTACATTTTAGACATTTTTTTTAATAAAATTTGATGTGACAAAATAGCGATCACATCTAGTTATTGCATTTATTCCTCCTTCACTTTGAATTATCACTGTGACTCATTGATTTTGTGATAGTAATCATTAGGTATTTATTTTTATATTCCTTTTATTGAGATCTGTCTATCACCATTTTTTTTCTGTTTATGTTTTAGTCGACCTCTTCAGGATGGAGATATTATCAACATTGATGTCACGGTGAGTAAATCATATAAAAAATAGTCTTTGATCAACTTCAGAATTGCTGGTAGCAACAGGAAAAAGAGTGGATTGAAAATTTGAACTGCACCAGTAGAAGTGCTGTTTACTTCTATCCCCAGACGCAAGCAGCTGGTTTCCTTTTTTTGTCTTTAACTGTGTGTTTATTCCAAGTAAACCCAGGCCTGACTTGAATTTAGGGCTGGAATCAGATGCACTGAGATCAATGTTGGCCTAAGTGAAATGTCAACCCAATCCTGCTATGTGTCATGTTTTTGAGAAGGTGTAATTGTTATTGATCCACTGTGTAGTTAATGCAGAGCACCACAGCACTGGGCAGCTGCCGAAGCTAGATATGTATGAGATGAGCTAACACGAAGAAAGCCAGCATTTTTCCTTCACTCTGCCAAGATTGATCTTCCTCTTCCTGCTGATTTTGAGTGGGGCCTGTCATTATCTTACTCTGTCATTAGGGGCTACATTGGCCTGTGTGTCAGTCTATTTGGACAGCAACTCTTTTGCTAGCAGTGTTCCCTAGATTTATTAAAATCCCTGAAGGTAACGTAATTCCATTTCTGGTATAGAGTCTCGAGCTCAAACCATATAAGAGTTGTTTTTTTCTCTGAACTTAAGTTTTCACTAAACAGTTAATGCTCTTTTTTAGATAACAAACTTGAGTAATTTAACAGAGGGCCTTCAAATTGTAAAACCTCTAACCTTTTCTAAATTTCTTAGCCTTTCACCATTCTCAGACTTGGAATATTTGTGCTCATTTTATTTTAATAAATACATTTTAAGTAAAATTTAAACATCTGATGAGAATTAGTTGAGATGGACAACATTCAAGAAATATAGTTGCTATTAATGAGAAAATGTGTTTCATTTTATTTTTTGAGATAGCCCAGGCTGGGCTAGAACTCATGGTGATCCCTGCCTCAGCCTCCCAAGTGCTGGGATTACAGATGTGTACCACCATGCCTAGCTAATGAAATATTTTTACTAGTTATTTTATATTCAGACTGTGAAACTTAGCTAAGAGTATGAATGAGATGAAAATCTAATGAGATGATATCCAACCATTGAATTCAGTCAGATTTTTAATTGTTTAAATTTCTTCATACCAGTTTATATATGGATAGAGCCAACAATCCTCTTATTGCTCAGTTATTTTCTATATCCTACTTAGAATACTTTTTTATCTTATTGAATACTTGAACATTTGCTCCACATATTCTGTTGGTATCTTTCCAAGTCAGAATCATGTAGGAGGAAATTTATGAAGCATACCTAAAAATAAAGTCTTTTTCATGATACAGGTTTATTTTGGATTGAACTTGATTTAGAGTTTTACATTTATTTTTTCACCTAAGCATCCTCTAACAAAATATTGCTGTCTGAATGAAATCAGCATATTCTTCTCTGTTTCCAATGTGTTCAAATGGAATACTTTATTCCTTGTTGAAGTTTCCTAAAGGCTTTTAATAAGTAATTTCAGTTTTAAAATTTACACTGTCTTGGCCTGGGATTTAGCTCAGTGGCACTGTGCCTGCCTCGCAAGTGCAAGGTCCTGAGTTCGATCCCCAGTACTGGGGGAAAAAAATTTTACACTATCTTTATAATTATGAAGCTCATAGAGTATAATGATATACTTTCGAGTATCTAGAAATATGAAAGAGTCTAGGAAACATAGGTCAGTATCTTAAATTATACTTCCTTTTTTTTTTGGTACCAGAAATCGAACTCGGGACCTTGCACTTGCCAGCCAAGCACAGCGCCAGTGAGCTAAATCCCCAGCCCTTTTTTTGTTTTTTTTTTTGGTACCGGGGATCAAACTCGGGTCCTTGCGCTTGTGTAGCAGGCATCAAAACCACTGAGCTAAATCCCCAGCCCTTTCACCAGCCCTTTAAATTGTATTTCTTATGAAATATTTTAAAAAGTGAAGAACTCCATTACCATGTTTTATACTTTTATCAGGATATACTTATTAAATTTTATAGTTGTTTATGTCTGCTATGTATCACAAGAAGATAGATTTCTTTTTCAACCTTGAAGGTTGAATTTTTTTTAAAAAAAGACAATATAATGCTCTTAGTAGTTGCTCAATAAATATTTGTTAAGTAAGTGAAGTACAAAACAAGAATAGTTTGTGGATAAACACAGTAGTTATTAATGACTACCACAGACTTTCAAAAGTATTATATTTCCATATGTATTGAATCTTTCAAGTATTCATTTTGAAAACTGGGCAAAAAGTAATATGACTGGTGGCAGATGCGTGTAATCCCAGCTACACAGGAGACTACACCAGGAGGATTTTGAGTTCAAGCCCAGCCTGGGCAATTAAGCAATTTAGCAAGACCCTGTCTTAAAAATAAAAAAGGGCCAGGAATGTGGCCCAGTGCAAAGGCCCTGAGTTCAGCCCTCAGTACTACAAACAAACAAAAAAAAGTAATACAAAAAAGCAAATAAAAATTTTAAAAGTAATACATTTGTATTTTTAAAAACTACAATTCATAAAAAATTAAAAATACTGGGAAGTAGCCCAGTGAAAGAATGACCTTGGTTCAATCCTCAGGACAGGGGAAGAAAGAAAGAAAAAAAATGAAAACCATTTTATCACTGCTAAGTCAGTCATTCCAGCCTTCTTATGTTTGCATTACATGATATATCCTTTTCCATCCATACATTTTCAAACTATCAGTAGCTTTATATTTAAAATATATCTGTCTAGCTGGCATGCCGGATCTTGCTTTTTTTGATCCATTTTTCAATCTGTACCCTTTAGATAGGCCAATGCCCAGTTTTGTAAAAATTGAAACTTTCAATTCTTTCAGATATTGTTTTAAAAACTAAAAAGCAAGCCTCAGACTGGGAAAAATATTGCAATGTATATGTCAGAAGGAAATTGCTTTGATAATATGTAAAAAACACTCAGATCTCAATAAGAAGATAATCATATCAGTAAAATAAGGCTAATAATTTTAACAGATACTTATCAAAGGAGATATATGGATGGCAAGGAACTACACCAAAAGTTGCTCAACATCATTAGTCATCAAAGGAACATAAATTAAAATCTTAAGGAGATATCAGTATACACTACAAACCCACTGGAATATTTAAAATTAGAGAGATTGACAATGCCCAGTGTTGGTCAAGGTGCAAAGCAATTGGGATACTCAAACTGCTGATAAAGATGTAAAGTTCAACAGTCTCTTTGGAAAATAGTTTTGCAGTTATTTATAAATATTCTGTCACCATAAGCCTATACAAATATTTACACACAAATGTTCATAGCAACATTATTTATAATATGAGAAACTGAAAAATAGCCCAAATATCCACAAATATATAATTGGAGAAAACAAATTTTGACATATTGATAAAACAGAATACGCACATCATAAAAGAGAATGTACTAGTGTTATATACAACAGTGTTGTTGGATCTCAAAAACGTTATGCTGAGTATGAACTGATTCAGAAAAACACACTAACATGACATTCAAATGACAATCTAGAAAATCCAAGGTAAATAATGAGCAGAAAGCAGATGAGTGGTTTCTTGGGCTACAAGTGGATGTAAAG